CCCCTGCAGGTTTGCCTTCCAGGATGCTTTAGTGTTCAGGTTGACAGTTGAGATTAACTATACTCCCCATAGGAAAGACTGGGTGTTGGATGTTTTCTGCTTTTCCAGTTGAAAAGTCTTTACTTTATGGATGAACAGTTGGAATTTAGAGAAATGGTTTTTCTTGCAGAGCCCCGTGGCTATTACCAGAATAGGGTTCCAATCTTGTTTTAAGTATTAAGATTCTACCTATGACATATTAAATAATGTTTGCTTTTTGGTGATTTATTAGCTATTTTTCCTCATTGCTATGACAAAATAATTAACTATAAGCAATTAAAAGAAGGAAGGTTATTCTAAGTTAGAGTGCAAGGGGATCATGGCGTGCATGGCTTGGAGCAGGAGCAGGAGTAGTCAGGAAGAGTGAATGAACAGAAAGTGAAGTTGGCTATATAACCTCCAGCCCACTCACTCCCAGTGGCCCATCTCTTCTATCAAGGCTCTACTTCTTAAAGGTTCCACGACCCTCCTAAACACTACTACCAGCTGGGGATCAGGATTTGCAACACACCAGGCTATGGTGGATATTTCACATTCAATCCACAACATTCTATTCCTGTTCCTCATAGACTCATGGCCATGACATAATGCAAAATGCATTCATTCCAACTTCAGAGTCCTCAGTCTTCACACTGCCAACATTTCAAAAGTCCAAAGTGTTTTCTGAGATGATTGCTTAACCGTGAGCTCACACAGAATTAAAAAAAAAATTATATCCTTTCAAATATAATGCCACAAAATAAACATTTCCTTTTCAAACAAGAGGAATTGGGGCATATTAAGAAACTACCAGACAAAGCAAGGCTGAAACCCAATAGGACAAAACCAAATCCTGCAGTTCCCTGTGAGGCATCTGGGGCCGTAGAGGGAGTCATCTGCAAAGGGCTTAGGTAGTCCTTCTGCTTTTGCTACCTATAGCACACACAGCCAGTCGTGGGCTGGCTCCATTCTCTGCCTCAGCTTTTTCAGTTGAGGTCCTGTTGTTCCACCCCCTCCAACCCTGAGCTTTCATTGCAATTTTGGCTTCACTGTCACAGTTGTGTGCAGTGGCTTCTCAGGGCCTCCTTGAAATTCCTCCAGCCCTGCCACGGATTGCTTGGCCTCAGTGATTCTACAAAACCATGGTGGAAAGCTTCAGGGCCCCTCAGTCTTTTGTTTTTTCATGCTTGCAAAGGCAGTGAATGATGCTGCCAAGTTCTGCTGCCAGCTTAGGGTCAGTCCTGGCTCCTTGGACCACAGTTTGCAGCAGCCTTTCTTTGTGTGTACTTTCTCTAGGCAGCTGATTTCCAGGTCAGGGACCACCTTGAGCACTCTCAGTTTTGCAAACGGGTGTAGGTGGAGTTTTCCTGTGCTAGTGGCTGCTTTCAAATAACCACTCAGAAACTTAATATTAATTGTAAATGCTCGGTCGATAGCTCAGGCATGTTAACTAGCTAACATTTAAATTAATTCATATTTCTTATTAACCTCTTCTGACTCTGCCCTTCTTCATCCCAGCATCCTTAATTTGATTGTCCTGCCTGTACTTCTTGCCTGGCTACTGGCCACTAAGCTTTTTATGAAACCAATTCTGAGTACAAATCTTTACAGTGTACCAAACAATTATTCCACAGCAAATGAAGACTTTGATGGGGTTTTGCCCTTAAGATACCCTTCCTATTGTTCTAGTACAGAGCAGGGGACTGAGCAGTCTTAGTCTTTTTTCAGGAAGAGCTTTGGCTGCAAAGTTAAAATTGTTCCAGCCCTTTCTCTCAACAAACTGTCCATTGTTTGTATCCTGTCCATTTGGTGATTTTTCCCCCCTGAGTGAAAGTAGTAATAACCGTGCTACAGCCCGAATGCTATCCTGCTTTGAAATCTTCTCTGCCAAACATGTTAGCCCATTACTTTTAAGTTCAGCCTTATTCAGTTTCTTGGGGGTATGAACAGAATGCAGCCAGACATTGTGAAGGTGTGCAGCCTTGATGGCTTCTAGCTGACTTCCCAAGAGTCCTTCTTTCCCTGAAGGGTAAACCTATGAGTTAGGACACCACTGTCACATTTCTCTGTGCATTCTAGTCTTCCATATTCTGACCAGAATGCCCCAGCAAACACTGTTGATAACATTATTAGCCTGCACAGTGAACTTTTCACACTCTTCCTGGGAAGCCCATTCCCAAAGCATATGGATTTGTCATACACTTTGTTATACAAAGTCAGATTTGCCACAGCAATGACTTGACTTCTCAGCACTGATTTTTCCTATTGGCTGCCTTGCATCTTGTGAAGGAAGGGGAAAGGTCTACTCCAGCTCACAGTTGGAGGAGTACATTTTATTAATGGTGAGGAAGGGCAATGTCAGGAGTGGGAGGCTGGGCAGGGTGCATTGCATCTGCACTTAGGAAGCAGAATTTGAACAGGAAATGAAACTGGGTTAAACCTCAAGATTCACACCCTTTTATCTACTTTCTCCAGCAAGGTTCTGCCTCATAAAGGTTCCATAATCTTTTGAAATAGCGCCTACCTACTTGGGCCAAGTTTTTAAACACACGAGTCTGTGAAAGACATTTCACATTCAGACCACAACTTGTATACAATATTCATCTCTTTGGCCAAGAAAATTAATCTCATTTTCATGTCCTTTTTAGAATTGTAGATATCGTAATTAATTAGAAATGCTAACAATCACCAGATGTGGTGGCACAGGCCTTTAATCTTAGCACAGGTTAGGCAGAGGCAGGTGTATCTCTTGAGTTCGAGGCTAGCCTGGTCTACAGAGTGAGTTCCAGGGCAGCCAAGGCTACAAAGAGAAACTATCCAGAAAAAAATAAAAACAAAACAAAATATATACACACACACATCCAAAAAACTCAGAAATGCTAATAATTATAAACAGTAGCATGATATGTTTTTTATACCTTCATGCTTAGATTTCATGTCCCAAGAAAATAAATTGTTGGGCTGACCATGTCTGTAATCCCAGCACTTTGGAGGCAGGGGGATTGCCCCAAATAGAGTAAGCTGGGCTTTGTTTAGAAGACAAAGACTTCGTCACTGAACTAATAAAAAGTGTTTTAGCCTTTTACCTATAGACATAAATTTGAAGCACATAAGTACCTTCCAAGTCGAATTTATAGTTGTGAGCCTCATAGAAGTTGGACTCAATATTTTATAGCCATGTCTTTGCTTTTTCCTGGAGACAGTCTTACATCATTTCTTAGAATATTGCTCAGGATTAAACAAGATAAAGCTTCAGTTTGCTTGTACGTAGGATGGAAAAATAATCCCCACATTGTAGATTTTTTTTTTAATCAGGGTTAAAGTGCCTAATTTAGTGATGTTTACTTGATAAGCTGTGATTCCTTGCTTCATTGTTCTCTTTATATTGAAATGCCATTTTAAAAGTCATTTTATCATTGTATGTTGTGTGTATTTTGCATGCACATATGCACGTATGTCTTCACCACATGCATGCGGTGCCAACGGAGGCCAGAAGAGGGCCCTGGATCTCTGGAACAGGAGTTACAGATGGTTGTGAGCTGCCATGTGAGTGCCGGAAATTAAGCCCAGGTCCTCTGAAAAAACAACTGGCGCTCTTAACCACTGAGCTGTCTTCCCAGCCCCTAAAACACCATTTTGCTGAAGATATTTTAAGGCCATCTGGTGTTCTTAATGCATATTTGGTTCTGTGATGAATTAGAATGGTTAATTATGCTGTAGAAACAATTATTCTTTCTTAAAAAAGCTTTCTGACAGGGTGTGCCTTATAATTGTTAATGAACATTTCACATTCAGGTTGGATGCCTACATATTTTAGTTCAAGTTTATTTTATTTTTCTAAGTAAAATTAATAAATTGCTCAATATATTTTGTACAACTAACTTTTTTTTTTTAAATATATCTGTCTTCTGTCCTTCCATTGTTCTGTTCTCTGTCCCTACTCGGTTATTGTAGAGCTTGAGGCTACAAAGCCAAATCAGCATGGGCGTGGGGAGATGATCAGTGAAGTTTAGAGGCGTCTAGGCACAGACCTCCGGTGCCCTGCTCTGATGGAGGCACGTAGGACAGACACACTTCTTCCAAAGACACCTGTGCATATTTCTCTCT